TTTTAGTGATTTATATAATGGGATATTAATGGGATATTAATGGGATATACCCTCTGGTAATTTGTTACATAGCTATTGAACATGGCCATAGAAATAGTGGTTTTTCCCATTGAACATGGTGATTTAAACCATAGTTATGTGAAAGTTTACCAGAGGGTAACTAGTTCGTTATAAATACATATAAATACCATAAGCCATATAGTGAAATTGGAGTTATTGGCACCAACTTAGCTAATTATGGAGCACCACATTGTATGGAAAATACCAAAAACCAGCAAGATGTGATTTATTCCATATCAAACAACTAGATGATTTTTGTAAACACAAAAGATCAATGTTAGAATCAATATTATTATAGCTATTTATATTCATTGTGTGTTTACCATTGATTCTAACATTGATTGTAAATATATGACATAATACATGTATAATTTTAGATACGAATATGATATTTATTTATGATAATGATTCTTTTTGTGGACTACCACAGATTGATGATCTATCTTATTTGGGGGGTTACCTTCTTTACCGGGGGAGGCTGGTGAAAGTTGGTGACATCCCCAACCGCTACCTTGACTCCAAAGAGGAGTGTAGTGTTTTCAGCAATTTTTGGTTTGCAAGCCAAAAAATGGGATGGTGAACTTAATCAATCAATATCAATCATATTAAAATGACTGTGATATACACTAATATACTTTAATACTCTTCAGAACTTTGAAACAACCAACACTGTTTTCCCCCAGGCTTGGGGTATCTTGGCACCCATTTCATCCAATTTCAAATAATTTGAGACAGAAGCAGACTGCAACATGTGAAGATTTCGCCTTGACGAAAATACGCGGGGCTCAACCCCTACAGGCTTTCGCCCTATTCCTGAAGTCATCCCCGGCTGAGGTACAGTAACTAAACTATGATCTGGCAACTAGTAATCCTAAGATATTCTAAGTCTAAATATCATTAAATATCTAAATATCCAATATTTAGAAGCAACACATGCAGGTGGTAGGTGTCCCAAAAAGCCTCCCATGCCGGCGTTTGTGTCGTGGGCGTCCCAATGGCATCGACGTCAGACAGCGATGCGAGGCACCGGGGTTCGGGAGATCCATGAGTCAAACCCCGAACGCGCCCTCTTGAGCATCCAAAATAGCAAATGGATGCGATTTTCCACCTCCAAATTCATGCGATTTTCCCGCTTTTGCCATCCCCATGTCAGCTGTTTGTGGAAATAGGTGGGCTTCAGGACCATTCCCATGCTGCATCAAACGGGTATAGGAATGGATAGGAGGCATGCGGATGCTGATTCCCCAAGAGATGGGTGACAGAAGTAAGGGGATATTCCCTCGAAGTACAGCCTTTATTCTTGCATTGTCCATTGAGGTTTACTATGGAAGAACATCAACTTTGAATCTGTCTGGAAAAATGTCTGTCGCACACGTATGTGCTGAAGTTGCGCACCCGCAACTTGCGCAGTTTTTTCGGCCGCTTGGGGTGAGCGATTTTCACCATCCCCCAACATATTCAGATTGGCCAATCCCCAACTGTGCAGCATGCAAGCTTTGAGTATTTTCAAGTGTGCTATCCAGGCCAAGCCCAGCAATAGATCGTATCATCACATGTTTGACTCGTTTGCTGATTGGATCCTCATGTTTGCTTTCTTGTTTCCAATTCTTGCTGATCTTCTTGATTGGCTCACCCTTTAAACTTTGGCAGGTTCCCCATTTTGATGGTCAGATATCCATAGATATCTGATATCTGTGTTTTCCATGAAACATCTGATGGATGACCATTGCATATACAGCTCTGGCAGGTCATGAAAGACATTTGGAGGGAGGCACACTTCTGCTGGAGCGGGCTGAGACTTTCATGCGATTTTACCCGGTTAAAACTGGCATCTCAACCAGTTGAAGGAAGGAAAATCTTCGCCAAGAAACATGGCATATCGTCCTGAAATGAACGTATTTGGGCGCCAGTTGATGGCGTTTCGACCAAAAAAAACACGACTTCCACCAGCGAGTCGGGGTATAACCATCTATGAGACGGCAGGTCAAGTCAGTGGGTACCCCAAGATTGGATGGTTTGCTATGTATATATAAATAATACAATATATATATATCATATAGTCATATAGTCATATATTTATATATATATATATTGAAGATATCTATATCTATATATATATATATACTACTAGTATGTATATTATACATATATATATATCACTATACACATATATAATTAATATAGTGTACACGAGCGGCATCTGGGGAACTCAGAAGCTCTGGTACACTGGTGTCGAGGCCTGGATCAACTCGGAGTTCACTGGTCAGGTGGTGAGACAAGCCCAGTGGGGCAATGGATATAATATACATAATATACATATAAATATTCATGATGTATTTGTTTGATTCTATATACAAATATGTGTATATATATATAACATACATATACATACATTGTATATATATATATATTTATATATATATACAAATTGTATATATATATATACATATGTATATAAATAGACGCTTAACATAGATATAGTTATTTTTCCCACTGGTTGGTCGATCAAAATTACAACCGAAATCACAACCGTTAAGTGTAGATTTAGTATCCAGCCAAGTCCAAAGTATTTTTCCTTGAAGGACATGGGTTGATTTACACCTAGATATTTGTATATCAGACCCGTTTCTTGTAATTTTCAAATCCATCTATTTAGATTTGATTAGATAGCTGCTAGGTATTTTTCGAGTTCCGTTTGTTTCTGCTGGCCTTAGAAATTGAGGTTCCTGTCAGTCCTTGGAATTCTCGAAGGGGCGATTTCCCGCGGCCTTGCCTTGCCCCCCTGCAATTCCCAAGATTGTTGAGGATCCCCCACGAAATCAAACCGGATTGAAACTCAACTGTCGATTTCACTCTGCGACTATTTATCCCACCAGAACGAAGTCAGACAACTCCCGGGACAAATTCATAACCCCCCCATAATAAAGTCAGTCAACTGTTTTTTTTGTTTTTGTTTTGGTGATATTTTATAGTTAACTATATTGAGAAGTTTCTAGACTAAGCCGCTAAGCCTTCCCCAAATCCTTAATCCAAATCTCAAAATCCCTAAAGATCTGAATCTGAACGCATCGATTTCTTTCAAAACACTTATCAAGCAATGCAACAAAAACATCCCAAAGGGGGTAGCCTTCAACCACCTCGGAACTACAATAAAAAGAACTGTTTTACACCACTTAATAAAGTCACTGTCTTTTTTTCGGAAAATTTTGGAAGAATATACTTAACTTTCTAAATCCCCTCTAACGTAAATTACTTTGCTACCTCAACGCTCTTCATCAAGCTTTCCGCGACACAGGCAATACAGGATGTCTGGAGTCCCCAAAAGTATGTGTGGCCTTAATTTTCTTTGGATTCGGATGTTGATATTGTTTGAGGATATTTGAGGTTTAATAATGAGATGCCAGCAAATATACGTGTTACGTATATTATATATATATGTTTATAATTATATTTGGTTTTGTCTGAAAACGGTAGTTTACCCCCAAAATTCATTTCAATCGGGAACACGGTGATGAATTCGCGCATTTTTGAGTGTTTCCATGTTTTTGTCCAGATAAAACTGATGCGAGTTATGAAACTGGAATCCAGTTCATCCTGCGGTGGATGGTTGCGAAATCCGAATCACCAGTTGATAGATGGTAAACATTCCATTATTTATAGGATATCTTCCAAATTGGATGGTTTATCTTCCAGTTGATAGATAGTTTATTGGATTATCCCATTGTTTATCCCTAGATGGTTTCCACCATCCGTTATTTTGGTGGTTTATCGGATATCGCAACGGCCCATCCACAGATTTCACATCCCAAAAAAACCATGACGTTCCACAGCGAACGGAACTTTCCTGAGGCGTTGAGTCGCCGCGCCAATGGACAGGAGTTCTTGGAGATTTGCTGTCCCGAAGTCTTGGAAAGGTCGCTACTGCGGTCTTCGGTGGGTGGTCCAACCGGTGGGCCTTCGGTGAACCGTTCTTGGGCAAAGAGATCTTATTTTGATAGGTGAAAATTGGTTGGTGGTTGTTTTTCAGAAGATGATACCCAAATTTCTAAGATCTGTTGTTTTCAGTATCTAAGATTAGCCATGACGAAGGCCGGGCATGCATCAATTGGGGACCTTTTGACCAAAAGGTGGATGCTAGGGGCAGACATTCGTTTAACAATTGAGACTCTTGCAACTATTGTAGAGAATCCTAGTAGAGGGAACCATGTTCATTAGTCGCTGGAGCTCATGTTGTCAGTAGCTCATATCCATGATTATTCCACCTTTATCTGGGATCAAGTCTGCACACGCTATTGACTACAAGCTTTGGCACATATGAGAACACACAAATTCACTGGTCCAATCATTTCTCTGAGATTTCATTTCTCCCTACAAAGTCTTTGAAGATGTCCTCTTGTTGACTAGCATGCAGAGTCAAACTTGTACTTGTAACACCAGAGAACAGACTCTCTATATAATTATATGACACCTAACAACTTATACTGTCACTAGGCTGGAAAATATATGGTAGATACATGATATCATATAATATCTATATTTGGGGTACATAGTACATATACCCTCTGGTTATTTAACATAGCCATGGAAGCCATGGCCCATAGAAATAGATGGTTTACTGAACTTAATAGCATGGTGGATCTTTCTATGGCGAACCGTTAGTCATAACCAGATGGTAAACCATATAGTATAGTATCTATATTTGGTGTACATAGTACATATAAACCAATTAACATCACTTGCCAGACCCCAATGCCCACGACAGATACGGCTCTCACCCAGAGATCCTGGACGATGGCCGCAGTGTCCATGTCTCCGTGAACGATGTGGTGGCGCACGGAGACCCATGGGTCAACCCCGGAGACAAATGGCCGTTCTGTGGTATATCCATATATAATGATTATATGATATATCCATAAATAATGATTATATGATATATCCAT